TTCTGTCGGGTGTCGAACTTGTCCCCCCAATCCCCTCTAAAGCTAAGGACGGCAGCTGTTATGGACATATGGACAAGCCCACAGGCATCGGCCCAAAGCCATCGCACCATCACGGAGCCATTCTCGACCAGCGTCGGATCAGTGGTCCGCGCCGCGCTGGGTTTTCTAGGGCGATTCAGCCCCGCAGTTGAGACAACGGAGAGCGAAATCGAGCTACTCCAACAGCGGCTTCAGGGCTGTGGCTTTTCAATGGGGCAGGTACAGTTGGAGCAGCTGCAATACGATGGCATTCGGTGGATCATGGAACGCGAGCAGTCGGCTGGATGGAAGGGCGGAATTCTCGCAGACGAGATGGGATTGGGCAAGACGGTGCAAATGCTGTGTGCAATTGCAACGAACAAAGTCCCGACGCTTGTCGTCTGTCCCCTGTCCGCCTTTGAGTCGTGGAAGGAGGATGTGCGCAATTTTTTTGCGCCCGGGACCTTTGCGCTCACCGACTTCCACCACTTGAAGAAGTTGCCACATCCTTTGCCTTCAAACTCCTTGATCTTGGTGCCTTAGCGAGTATCGGAGCACGCTTGAAACGCTTGTCCGATCCAGAATCTTAAAGCAAGCTTCCGCAGCCTTCAGGTGAACCCTGAACTGCTGGGACGCGATGTTTGGGCCAAGCCGCCTGAAGCAAAGGCAGGACGTGAAAAACACATGCGCAGCTTATGTCCTTCGGAATAGGGGTTGTAGTGATTGCAGTGATTTAGTAAACATATCTTGAAAGTTGCTTGTTTACATAAGTTGAGAGCCGCTGCGTAAGGCAGGATTGGGGCCCTTTGCCTGCAGGCTGCACGAGAGGTGAACTTGAAGTCGAAGCTGCTGAATGCGCCTTTTCAGCGAATCATCTGTGACGAGGCTGGTGATTACGACAAATGAAAGAAGGCATCCATTTCCGACTCTAGCGTTCTGTCGCTTTTCCTCAGCTTCGCTTGGGCATGTCCGGAGCTGTTGCAGCGCGGAGACATAGGTAAAGTGAAAGCACGATGATGTGGTTGGCCCCTGTCAGGCACAGTTCCTGAAGAATCTGATGTCACCAAAGGGTCAGAACATCAATGCCAAAGCTTGCGATTGCATTGCAGCCAAAGCCAGCATTCGCTGGTGCATGACTGGGACACCCATCGAGAACGGCATCAAGGACTATCTGTCCCTGCTAACGTTTCTGAAAGCCGAGCCCTTCTGCCGTCCGGACTGGTTCCATCATCACGTAGAAAGACACTTGACTCGAATTGTTCATTCCTGTTCGTGCCATCGAGAGCATGCAGATCTTGGATCCAGCTTGTCAGCCTCAAAGCTCCTTGCCGTGGCCGCGTGAGATGAATAGATAGTTGAGTGCACAGGCGCCAACATGGACACTGAGGACATGTGGGAACTGAGTTCGTTCAAGATCCGCGCTTTGCGCAGTGCTTCCGCGAGACCGTCCTGCGACGCAGCAAGGTGGCTTTCAAAATGTTTTGTGTAATGTCGAGCGAAAGAGAGTGCAGAAGAGAGGCATCACTGCAGAACCTGCCAGAGACCCACTTCCACTTGCTTGCATCTTGGCGTCGACGGATGGCAGCTGGACACAATCGACAGTCGAAAACCAACATCGTGCCGCAGCACTTTGCCAAGTCGCGTGTTGTAGGCTCACACAGAAAGCTGGAAAGCTGGATTGGTGTTTGCGAGTAGACAGGGAGGACTCCAAAGCCAGCAAAGTGCACGCTGGACGCGTTCGTCAGGTCTGCCCAAAAATTTAGTGCATGTTCGCCCCAAGGAAAGCTCAATGGACCCAACGGAGAAGGAGCAGGAAGCGGCATTGCTGGATGAGGATTGACGGCAGCGAAACTTTCTGTGATTCACCAAGCATGTGCTAGAGCCGTGCAAACAGGAGGAGTCGGGGTTGGTTCGTCAGTTGCGCTCGGGCCAAGCTGCCGGCTCGCTGGCGATGCCTCGTTCCAGTGTGCAGGCGCGAAGGGGCGCGAGATGGCGCGAGGCGTGTAGCCGCCCTGAGGTTTAACAGGCGAAGCGGACCGAAGCATGCTCTCAGCTTGTCGACTGCTCTAAGGAGGCTTCGTTTGGTTTGAGCTCATAGTCAGCCTCAGGACCTCCAGGAGATCCAGGCGCTCTCGCTCGACGAGCTTAAAGACCGGGCCCGGAAACCTTGCGAGCTTGGTGGTTTGGGCCAGGAGCTGCGGCCACCGTCGCAGGAGGAAGAGGCGCAGGGACCTTGCAAACCGAGTCTCACGAAAATCTCGGAGTTGTGCTGCAGATCAGATCCTATTCCCTTCGGAAAGGCTCAGCGGCAATGGTGCTTGAGCAAGTTCTGCTTCGAGAGAGCTTGGATCGAAGCCGACAAGGAGAAGCTCTTGAAGTCGAGCAAATGGACATCACTCGAAAGCACTTTGCGCAAGATCTGGAATGCGCGGGTCAGGGATGCAGAGCTGGATCCTCTGCGTGCACTACTTTGTTGTTGTTTAAGATCAGAAGTTTGCCCTTCATCGTTAGCAAGATTGTGTACGACTGGGGTCACGGAGCTGTCAATTCTTGAGAAGACTTCTCAAGCTGCAGTCAGCCTGTGTGTAAAAGCTTTCACTCCTTTCCGGGATGGGACTTGATATTGGCTTGGCCAGCCGGCTTTGCTCCGGATCCAGTTTACGGAGGTGAACGCATGCGGCTCTAGACGGCTGTAGGCGCTTTCAAACAAAAACCCAAGGAATGTGCATGGAGACGCGACGAGAAGCAGTTTTCCGATCCTTGGCGCTCAGATGCAGTGTACTGGACAAAGCTGGACACCCACGAGACTCTCGGCCAATGGTAGGTAGAGCCCCAAGCTTGGGTATTAGGAATAGGCTCGTTTAGGAACACAGAGTCAGATGGAGCGTCAGCTCGCAAAGGACTTTGCTTCAACAGTTGTGCAGCAACGGAGGAACACGAAAGTGGTGCTTATCTCGCGGTTTTCCACTCGCAGCTTCGAATTGGCGGCGAAGTTGATGAGCAAGCTGAACATTAGGTCATTCTGCGGCAGTTCTCCACAGGGTCTGGTCTTTGAAGGCTTTGGCTGGTGTACGTAGGTAAGGTGAGTCTCGAGATGTCTCTAGCTGCGCATGAAGCAAGGAGGAATGAAGTCCAGGCTAGGGAAGGCTCCACCAGGCATCCTTTGATAGGCTCGTTCGGTTCGACTCGAGGTATTGCAAGATCGACCAGTCTGTTGCGCCGGAAGATCGTGGCAAAATTATCGACAGCTTCAACAATGACCCAGCTGTGAAGGTCATGCTTCTGGGCATGAAGTGCGGAGGGTCAGGCCGGATCGGGCAATTTCCGGCTACATGAGACGACGGGCGGCAGCACTGGCCAGAATACTGCCTGGTTTCAAACAGACTTCTGTGACAAGAGCATGATGGATGGAAGTTTGTGCCTGTCCTGCCAAGCCTGTAGCTTGGATCTGTCGCAGGTATCAACCTTCCGGGCGCACAGGTGGCGATTCTGATGGATTCGTGGTGGACTCCCGCGAGCCCTGGCGAAAGCGAAAGAGAGCATGTCTAAACCAGAGCTGCTTCTCTTCAGACCTCTTCGCAGCTAGGCTCTGTCCTCGCTAGACCTTGTCAGTGTGGCTTTTCTTTTTGGTCATCGCTGTCAGACTCGTGGGTTATCTCAGGGCGGAGCAGCAGGCCATCAACCGCATTCATCGCTTGAACTCGGCGCACAAGCATGTCTACTTCGTCAAGCTCTTCTCTCGCAATAACGACACCGAACAAAGGCTCTTCGCATGCCAGCGGTGTAAGGTGGACCGAGAGAGCTGTCCTTAGCGCACGCAGTAGGCGGCAACCGAAACAGAACGGAAGCTTTGCAGGGCACAACCGGCTTGAACCATGCATGCTCGTCATGCACAGGCAGTCCTAGATCCACCAGCAGAAGCTACGCGTTTGTCAGCAGACTCTGGGGCCCGTCACCGTCTCTTGAGCGCAGTGACGACAGGTCAGCCGCAGATGCCCTGACAGCCGTCCAAACTACTTTCGGGGAGTACTATTGTCGCCTCAAAGGTTAATGCAGCTATAAGAGATCTGGAGAACTTTTCCTGCCTGAGCGATAGCCTCAGCCTGGCATCCGTTACTTTTGCAGCTGCAGATCTCTTAGTCGGACAAGCTTATGATGTTCCTGCAACAACTGCAAGGACTGTCGGTGCGGGCGTGTCCCGTTACCCGTTCAGGCTAATGAGCAGCGATTCGTGTGGCGATCCGGAAGAGATGCGCGAGCTTCAGACACATCAGGTTTTCTTGTTCCGTTGCTTTCTGATGGCGACAGACTCTGAAGCAGGCTGTTGGCACAGTGTGTGGTCCTTCTGAAGGTACAGGCCGTTCTTCCTCTGAGTTTTGATTTCACCCTGTGGAGCACCAACCCACCAAAAAGCCTCGCTCGAGAAGGTTCTGCTTCCACAGTCAAGCACTACAGCAGCGCACTCCGGCCGTCCGGGCACGGTGCAGCGAGACAAAGAACCTACCATTGAGAAAGATCGTGCGTGTCGGAAACCAGTCACGATGGCGGCCGGCCACTGGGTGACGGCAGGCTTATCAACAGCTGAAGATCTAGGAAATGGATAAACCAAGTTTGTTTCGCCATCCGCTTGATCGAACGTTCTGGCTTGTGGGGATGTGGCAAGTCGCAGGAAATTATTGGCCAGATTGAAGTGATTGAAGTTCCATCAAATCTTTGTCTTTAGGAAGACTTACTTTGCCGGAAGGAAGCCGTTGTCATGTCTCGTACTCAGTATGTCTAGCCGAGGGGAATGATAAGTGCAAGTCCAGCCATGCATTGATTGCTTGCCACTGCGCCAGAGCTGGCTTCGCAGAAGGACAACCTTCTCATCATGAGCTCAGGTTGGAGAAGGCCCAGTGTAGGCATCATGCTGCAGGAATGGGGGATGAGGTCCCTTTGCAGAAGCTGGACACCGCCCAGCTCCAGGCACGCGGAACGGCAGCTCTGCTTTTAGAAAAGAAGGTTGCGTATGGAGACGATGTGCTCTGACCTGAAGGCGACCTCTCGCATTTCGGGCTCAAACGTGGCTGCGTAGGTCACTGTAATCACTGTGCTACTAGTACAGATGTCAGTCTTTTCTCTGCTTAGGGCCCAATGCAACTTAACCCAGTCCTAGCATCCGAAAGAATCAGGTCATTGTTTGAGCCTGCACCCAGCATGCTTCAATGGACTTGGCCAAAACTGCGGCCCAAATCCGACCACTTCGAGGGTACGGTTTGCTGTGTTGCTCGACGTAAAGACTCTTCGACACTGGTCATCAACTTGCAGAAGCCTTGCACGAATCATGAGCCGTGCCAGGGATGATGCGACACCGCTTCTGCCGCGTGAGCTAGCCAAAGCCTCACCTTATTATGCCCTAGGTTGCAATAGTATGTTGCACTGCTGTCGAGAGTGCAGTCAGTCACATCGGCAGGAAGCCACAGCTCTTTCCTTGCCTCAATGCAATGACACCCCAGGAGCTTATTGCCATTTGCAACAGGCTTGTTCACGGGCAAGTTGTGGCAACGGCCTCGTTTTTTCAGCAGCTTCATGCATACTTAGCAGTGAACCCGTGGACACCAGTTTGTTGGAAGATTTTTGTGTCGTAAGTCAACAGAAGCTTCAGGATGCCTTCCCTGGGGCGCAGCCGACCTCTTTGACAAGACAGAAGATTTTTGAGCAGTTGCTGAAGGAGTGCTTGCGACACGTTTGACGGGATGTAGAATGTAGATAATGGTTGCGGGTTTAGACTTGGAAGGAGCCCTATGTGGTTTGTGAGAAAACCGACGGGGAGAGACATCTGCTACTTGCCCACGAAGGACAAGCCGTCATTGCTTTTACAGTCGTGTTGCGTCGCACCTACGGCATACAAACCGGTGTTCAAGGTTCGGCCTCTCAGTCATGTCTGTTGCGCCGTGATGTGCTGGTGCCGCAGGACATGTCTACCTTATTGACAGGAAATGCCGTGTTTGGACATGTCGTGTTGTGACCTCAGCCCTGAGGAAGTTCACAGACTCAGAAGACTCAAGAACAGATTCAGCCAAACTGCACGCTCAGGAGCAACTTCCATTGCCAGCTGGGCATGCTCTGTGTGGAACTAAGGGTGTGGCACATCTGGGTTCAGAGCACAACGCCTGCATGCGAGAGTATGACGTCGGCAGTATGAGTCAGAAATGTGGGTCGGACGTGCAAGGACAGTTGCACATGGCTCATGCTGGGAAGACGGTGTCGAAACAGAGAAGCCTCCATCATATCATACAGCATCGTCGGTACTTCGAAAAGTTTCACAGCCGTAGACCCTTCAACTTTTGCCAGCTTGCTGTACATTGTCTCCGGCGGTGAGAGGATAGAAAGTTCTGTTCTACTTAGGTCGCCAGGTTGGCATCACAACACCTTGTTGGATGGCGAGCTCGTTCTTGATGTTGTAGAGGAGGCCCACGGGCCATCCCTACCCGAAGCCCTCATTTGTCGGGCTTCGGCAAAGGTTGACATGCCGAGACCTTGGAGACGCGGCTTTGTGTGTCTGTCTTCAGGGAAAGACCGCCCTCCGATACCTGGTGTATGATGCGATGCACATCTGTGGCGAGGAGTCTGCTTTTTCGCAGGTTCTTCAGGAATGTTGCTGCAGACAGTCTTACCTTCGGTCGAGTCGTACTGATGCAGGACTTGACGCACCGGACGCTGATATATCGACTGCAGAAGGCTCTTTACGAGGTGATTCTTCCGAAGGACCGAGCACATCTTTCCACAGCTCAGAACCGTGGTTACAGAGAGTTGCAGGAGCAACTGTCAGCTCTCCGTGGGTCCGCAGACAACGTGCAGCTGATGTTGAAGGCTTGTCTCTGGATAGACTGCCTCCTTCGCGAGATCTGCGAGGTTGTTCGCTTCAGGGTGTTGGGGATTAGGCTTGGAGCCGTCAGGGTCTGCCCTCGCACAGCTTGCAGCAAAATTCCTTTGGACGTACAGGCATGCTTAGGGCACGGTTCGCACTGATTGCTTCATCATCACGAAAATGGGGCCCCGGTGGCCGCAGCCCGAGCTGCAAGGGCCGTTGCACGTGGCCTTCATGCTGGTGTAGACGGTTCCTGGCAGGACTTCTTTGAGCTGTGGCAGCTCGGCGAAGTCACGGCCATCGGCAGGTGCCTGAGACCATGCGGAGCGCGGAGGAGCGTTTTTTGCCGCGGTGCCGAGCTGAAGCGGACCCGCCGCTGAGCCTCGGAGCTTCCACACGGAACCGATGGCCTTGTCTTCACGCCCGCTTGGTCCCGAGCGATCTTTTTCCCTCTCCTCCGTGATGGTCTTCTTCCGCAGGTCATGGTCCCTTACGTGCCGGGGACGGTCCCAGCCTTGCTCAAATGGAAGCCCGCCGAGATGAACACCGTCGATTTCAAGCTGCAGGCTGCAGCATATGACACCGGCTGAAGCCTGCTGCTGCCTGATTCTTGCGAGGTCATCCAGGAAGGAGACTCGACACGAAATATGCACGTGCCCACCTCAGACGTCTTCGACACAGGAGGGATCAACGTGTGGGTAGATGTTGATATTGGGCGCAGCGATGTGTGATGCCATTGTGGGAGTGAAGCTCCACAAAGCACTGGGCAGTAGGCGAGCTTCCCCAAGCAGGGCTGGTAGAGTGAGGCTGCACGTGGTTTTCAGGGCAGGCACGCTCTGTGAAGGACTTCAGATGCTCCGTCGTATGCTAGCGCCCATGGCACGAAGTCGTCCTCGGTGTGGGAGATCAGATTGACTTGTAGAGACCAGCGCAACAGACCAAGTCTTCTCGGCGTCTCTTGCGGCTGCCCGTTCATGTCTGTACTCATTGCTGTAATCCTCTCATAGAGATTTTGCCGATGCTGCGTTGGCCTTGGCCAAAGCTCGAAGCACAGGAAGGCACTGCAGAGGGAAACGCTGGGGGCCATCACTGTCTAGAACGGGAGACCCTCTGAGCCTCGCGGCCGATGTAAGGTCTACGCCTCGTCCCTTTGCCATGTGCAACGTGTAGTCAAAGTCGAGACCGCCGGAATTGTTCAGGTGAAGTTGCTCGTCGGCTTCAAGCAAAGGGACGCTTGGCAGGCAAGCTACATTTATGCAGGCGCCTCGCAGTATTCTCCAACCGCTGTATGATGCCCTGGAGGTGAAGCACACTGGTCACTGGCTGGCGAAGATGGGGGACATGTTCAAAAAGCTGAGGGAGGTGCTTCGAGCCCATCGGATGTTCGTTTCGTCTTGCATTGGCTATGCCGTCGCAGCGTCAGCGGTGCAGCGAACAGGATCCTGCTGCCTTCGATGGCAAGATCGCAGAGTGCAAGTGGAATGCATCGGCTAAGACCTTCACACCTTCAGACCAGTTGAAGTCCTTGACTCAGAACAACATGTGTCTTCCGTGTCTATGTTGGAACCGACTTAGATTCAGGTTCACAGTAAACGGCACCTGGGAAGACGGTGGTTGGGTGCTGCAACGTCTGAGAGAGGAGATCTTACAATTAAGTTTGGAATGCACGAGTTGCTGGTGCAGATTCACCAGGATGTCGCATGTAGAGACTTTGCAGACTTTTTCATTTTGCTGAACCTGCAGCTTCTTGGATCAATTCTCGGTGCTAGCGGTGGCAGAATGTTCGGGCGCTTTTCATGCTGGTCGCCGCCTCCTGTACGACCACAGTATGACCCACTCGAGGAACTGCAGCAGGACCCGCTTCGATCCTTGAATGGTCCAGGTGTTACTCTGCTTGCTTGCCAGGACATAAACCTTCATGACTTGCCAGCACTCCGACAAAGAGGACCAAACTACTACTGGGGCCCCTGGTGCCGAAGCTGCATCTTTGTCTGTCTTGCTGTTGGCTTAGCTGCTGAGCATGATCGCGTGAGGCTATGCTTAGTAGTGGTCTTTGCCTTCATCTTTGAGTCTGTGGGACTTCCCACGATGGCGAGCCAGAACTATGACAGCCCTTTCTTGGACATGGTGGTGCTTCCAGTTGTGTGGATTGCTGCCTTCGCAGCGGTGTCAGCCTCAATCACCATCCCACAGCAAACTTCCTCATTGTTCCATCGTAAGGCTTTTGAGGCTTTTGCAGTTGCAGCATACGATGGCTGCAGGTTTTCACGCTGGTCTCCATCGTATTCGGCGACACAGGAGAGATTCGCCGAAGTGAAGCTTCCTGCTATCCAATTCCTGACCGTGCCAGAGCACTGATTTTGTTGGGCAGCAGCAAATCTGAAGACACCCCCAACATTGCTGGCCTGGATGGCCAGTCGTACTGCATCTCCTTCTTGAATACTGTGGCTATGTTGTTTTGATGACCCGCACTGTCTATTTCCTTGAAAGGAAACTTCACTTGACTACTAGAATCTCTAGGTCGCAGACTGGGTAGGTGTTCAGAATTAAGTGCTGCAGCTGTTTTGCTTTTTTTTGGTGTTCCTGGGCGTTTGCGTTTTTGCTGCGCTTCGGATTTGGCTTGTTCTGCGTTTGCCTTGTTTTGTGTGCATTCGGGATGTGGCGGGTGCGGCGCGGCACGGCGACGGCTGGCGTCGCAATGTGCGAGGTCGGAGCGGCCGGTACCGGGGTCGGGGTCGGCGGGGGGTCGGGGCCGGGGCGGGGCGGGCGATGCTTCCCTCTAAAAAACACAAGAATAATGTCAAAAGCAAAAAAGAAGCAATGCAAAAGAACTACCGCCATGCATGCAAGTCAGCATACCTTGATCCGGCCCTGGAAATTCAAGCGGGCAGACCAGCTGCTCCTGCAAAGATTCTTATCAAACTACGCACGACCAGCCTCCATCGTGAAGGGCTTTAACCCTCTGCCGGCCCATGCCCGGCTGTTAAAGGAAGGCTTTTGCTATGCGGACAGCCAGCCAAGAACAGATGCAGATTCGAGCCTCTAAAGCCAAAGCTCGCTGAGTTCGCAGACCCTCGACGTCAGAAAGAGGCCGGAGCCAAGGCACACGCTGCTGCGTCTGGCGCCCAGAGGGCTCCCACCATTGCAGCACCTGCCAGCGCTGCGTAACAGGCCGGGATCCAGGGCAGCCTCTAAATGTAACGGCTGATCATGAGGGTGCTTACGATCAGAAAGGCAAAAGCCACACCATACCTAACGTGCATGATTCCGACTCTAACCTCTCTCTAATGTTCTGAATCAGCTCAGCTCAAACTTTGCATAGGCGTTTGCCAATGCATCAGACCATTGTTTCAGCTCTCGGGCCTCGCGCGGTGCATGTCAGTCCCCAACTCCGGCTCATCGTCGATGCATCTAAAGGGGCAGTTCAGTTTGAATTCTTTTTCCGATGAGTTGGATAGAAGATCCTCAGACGGCAGGCTTCGATCATCATTGCAGCTTCTTCGGCCGCTGCATCACAAGACGCAACATGTGCAGCTTTCGAACGATCATCGGCCTATTTTTCGTCGGTGCTGCTGCGCAGATGATCACCGTGGCGCCGCTCGGCGACATAACTGCTCTCTGCTCTCTACCCCTTGTGTTTGTGCCGGGTCGGTGCCTGGCACAGGATAACTAACTCAGCTCCGGCGCGATCCCCATCAACATCACCGCATGCCACTGCAAGCACCGCGATGGAGCCTGTCGCGGGCAGATACTACAATTACAACTGAGGTTGGCCCTGTTGTGCAAAGTGCACAGTACTCTTCGCCGAACCGCTTTGCAAAGTCTTGAGTGCTGGAGACATTTCAGTGCTTTCTCTAGTGCAAGATCGGAAGTCGCCCAGTCGGCTCCATGATCTTCCATGCAGCGCCGTTGGTAAAACCAACGGGGAGCCGGGGGAAGGTGTGCGCAAAGTTCGCACAGGTCGGACTCCGGGTGCAGCCGGAAAAATTCGCAGATCATGGCTGAAATGAGCAGCATCTTGTCAGGATCAGTGCACGCACGGCCTTTCTCGAAGCTGTTTGCAACAGTTGGCAGGACAAGAGCTTGCCCAACGATTTACGGACGGCGAAGCGGGTGGTGGAGTCCATCCAGGACGACTTGAATGAGGAGGACCACTGTGAGCACTATGTTTGCCTGCTGAAACTCTTTGTTCTTGCTTTCCCAATCAGATCAAGGCTCAGGCGACTTGCTCAGCCGACTTTAGCTAGAAGCTGGCATGGGAAGGTCGCTAGAGAGAAACATTCGCGGGCTCCACGCGCCCGAAAAACAAACCTGTTTGCTTCTGGTGCGAAGCCGCCTGGACCTACTCAGCGTTACAGTTTCCGCGTGGCGATGCATGGCAGTCAAAGAGGCGCAGGAGATTCGCAAGGCTTATCGGCTGGCTGCAAGTTTGCACTTGAGAAGGCTTGTGCGCTCGTGGCAATCCGTCTCTCGGGTGCGTTCTGTGGCTGATGCTTGCAAGAGACTTCCCGAAGTCCCGCAGCTGATCGTCAAGTACCAGAAGTACCAGCAGCAGCAGATGGCGAAGTTCATTCATCAACGCATGCTTAGGCTCCGGGCTGCATGCATGTCCCGTGCGAATTGGGTTAGATGCATGGCACGCGCAGGCAAGAAGGCTTTGCACGAGTGGCAGCGTGTCAGCCGCATGTCGGCGCTCGAACGGTCAGTCTCGTACCAGGAGAGGACGCACTGGCAAAGCTGGCTCAGGCATGCCTTTGAAAGCTTTGTAGAGGTCGCCGCTTCGGCAAAGGTTGTTCGCAGCAAGGCTCTCGACTTGCAGAAACGATGGCTTGCACGGGTCCTCTTGGCCTTCCAAGAAGCCACAAGATGCAGCAAAGCCTTCAGGCATCGATGCAGAGCTGCCCAAGCCACGTTTCGCAAGCGCCAGCTCGAGCGTAGCATGAATTCCTGGCACTCGTGGAGGCTTTCTCAAAGGCAGCAGCGCCTCATGAACCTGGACGCATTGAGTAGCTGGAGACGCTGCATCCTGAATCGGGCTTTGGGGAAGCTCTGCAGCTTCACCATGCTGCGAGCAAGGTGTCGTGGCTTCACCACTAAACGCAGGCAAGACGCTGCATTGAAAGCTTTGAAAAGCTTGCGGCAGACTGTCTTGCTGTCTAGAAGAAGCCGTGCTGCCAAGCTTTTAAAACAGGCGTCCGTCCTGCGACACGTGCTTCGACAATGGACGATCTTGCATTTGACGTATTCGAAGCTGGGTTTGTCGGGTCAAGTGAAACAGTTTCGCTTTCGGCAGATACTTTTTAATTGGTGGCGAGGTTGCAACCTCAGCGATATTTTGCGGTGTTGGCATTGGGCTGGGAGGATGGGAGTGAAGGAACGGCATGCTATCGCTCAGCACACGCAGTCTTCGTGGCGTTTCATCCAGTCGGTGTTACAGGAGTGGCGTGCTTTTGCTAAGCTGCTGCGGGAAGAGCAGGGGTATCTACGCTATCGTTGCAATCTCACCCGGCTACGATGCTGCTGGAAGTCATGGAACAGACGAGTCACTGCGGTGCATCTGATGCAACGGTTTCGTGACAAACAGCGGCTGGTTTCTGCAAGTTCAGTCGTCAAGGGTTGGAGCCGACAAGTCGCTTGCCGGCGGCATACAACCCATCTTGTGCAGAAACGTGGCCTGCAATTGTGCAAGCGGAGTATCAGCTGTTGGCGTGCTCACTGCATGGCCAGACAGGCGGCATCTCGACTGCAGAGCCAGGTGGTACTAGCCTGGCTGGATTGGGCAGCCCTGCGCAGACAGGTTCGCGATGACGTCGCTTGGCAGCGGTGGGCAGAGGGTGTGGCAGACATCTTCATCTCGCGACGGTTGCTGCGGGGTCTACCAACATGCTTCAGCACATGGTGCCACTCCGTTCGACAGCAGAGCGCTTTGCATGCCAGAGCCGCAGCTATGCAGACCGATGCATCCAGACAACTTCTTGTGTTTACTTTCGGCACGCTTCGTTGCATCCTGGCTCTGCGACGTTTGCAGCGTTTCGACTCCGAGAAGTGCCTGAGAGAGCTCCGCGCCTGCTTCGTGAATCTGCGCTGGTCGTGCCAGATGTCTGCGAAAGCAGGGACCGTGCAGGCTACAGGCCGCGGCTTTCGCAAAGCACAAGCCGCTCGTCTTAGGCATTGGTACTTGCGGGCTTTCAAATCATGTTAACATCAGCTCAGGCTTTCACGGCTCTTTTGAGGATCTACCAGAGGAGGTGTGGCTTGGGGCTGCGGCTTCATTTCTGTGGAGTCATTTTCTCTGTCCAGCAGGTGCTCTGCCAAGTCCATGGCGGCAGTCATGACTCGCAACTACCTTGGTCGGGCATTTTGCAGACTCAGGACCGGGCTTTAAACTCCTAGATCTTGGCGGGCGGACTGCCGGCCTCTGATCTGTGCCAGGCAGTTTCAGCACAGAATGGAGGCGATTGAGACTTCTGCAAAGCTGGCTGCTTTGATGCACTATCCGATTCGTGGCTCAGTGGCTCTGCTTCCTTTCTGCTCAACCTGGGTTGAAGGTCGCACGGCGCTACCGCCTCCTCGCGGCGTTGGCTCGATGGCGGAAGGTAGACTCCAGAGTGCACTGAAGTGTAAAGCTGCCACAAAGATGCAGGAGCTGGCAGTGCAGATGCGGAAGACCTGGCTTCCTGCGGTCTTCGTCGAGTGGAGACAGGCGGTCTGAATGCTCCACATGAATTTCAAACCAGTGAACATCTGATTCTGAGTCCGAGCAGCATTCTGCTGTTGTCAGATCGCTCAAAGACAGCGGCTGCGTCGTCTCCGTCAACGGCGGTATGTGCGCCAAAGCCGAAACTGTAGAGAAGCTTTTTGTGTCAATATTTCAGTTTCATGCAGGGCCTGCTGCGCTGGCGGGCTTACGTCAAAGACTGTCGAGCCCTGAGTTACTTCTTTGATCGCGCTCCTCTGCCACAAGAAAAAGCTCAACCTCCCTGTATCTTCCGGTGACAAGTCCATCCTGCCCTCACTGGCACTTCGCAGTTGTCTTGAGTTGCGAAGTTTTGCGACCGTCTATGCGTTGCCGTTCAGTGAACAGGCAGACAGCAGAGCCGGCGCGCCGTCTTAGCAGATCTGCTCCGGCGACGCCGCCAGATGCGAGTTTTCTCCCTAGCTGGTCTCAGGAACTTGAAAATTGCCCCGGCAGATTGCTATGTCTCGTCGGGATGTTGGCTTGTCCTTCGAGGCAGTTCTGCTTCCGTGGCAGCTGGCTGCTGCCTCAAAGGAGGCTGATGTGGACTTTCGTTCGTAGCTGTGCTCCGCGTGGTCTCTTGGCCACTTGCCAGGCTGGTCAGCTGCAGGACCGCTGGAGCGAGGCCGACGTTGTTCCAGGCATTTTCACAAACTGAAAGATCACCGAGACCAGTAGGAGCACGCTCTTGTGAGCGCATCATAAAGCGGGTCTGCAGCACCGCACAGGCTTGCAGCAGTTCGCCTTCATGCGCTACCGAGACGCCACGGACGAGACGTGAATCGACCTTCTGATCCCTGCGGAAAACGGGAGGCAGCTTCACCAGGCTGCTTTGAAGGCGGACCGTAGCATGCGCTGGGCCGTACCTGCGCGATGATCTCGCAGATCGAGCAGACGATGCAGGAGAAATCAGGTGGATTAGGTGGCTGTTCGCCAACAGAAGATTTCGCCACACCGCACCGCTGTGAAAAATAAGAACTCCGAGATGGCAGAGGAAAGCTGTCCCAACTGGTGGACAGTTTGTAGAACTCTCGGGAAGGCAGGTCTCACCGGTTCTTCTGTGAGGACTTGTAGCTCGCAGGCAGGGTGACCATAGGGCTCGCAGCTGTCGTCGTGGCAGAGCCAACCTGCAGCAAGACGTGCGCGCACCGTACCAAGAGAAATTTCCGCTGCCAGAACACGGGGCCGTCTTTAGCTGCAGGCATGAGGCTTGCTTCACCTCTCATAGGGCAGAAGGGGATGCATAGGAAGTCAGACGTGTTTTCAAGACACCAATCTTATTCAATTCCCTTTCCAAGACTGGTGATCCTGTCGAGAGTCAATAAAAATAACAACAATAGTAATGACACCACCACCACCACCACCACCAACACCACCACCGCGGATACTACGACGACGATGACGACTACTACTACTACTACCACCACTACTGCTAGTACTA